TGAAATTCTGATGGATATATTGAAGTTAGAATTTGGTGTGATCGGAAATGCCTTAAAGTGGATTAAGTCGTTTCTTTCCTGTAGAAAGCAGCGTATTAATATTAAGCAAAAGGTTTCCGCCAATTTTACGTTGAACTGTGGAGTACCACAAGGAAGCTGTCTTGGACCGGTCCTTTTCCTATTATACGTGTCTCAACTGTTCCAGATTATTAACAGACACTTACCTTCTTCCCATGGGTATGCAGATGACACTCAACTTTATTTATCTTTCCGTCCTGAGTCACCCGTTGTCCAAGACCAAGCTATTCAAACTATTAATAATTGCATCGTCGAAGTTCGTGCTTGGTTAGTTTCACATAAATTAATGTTCAATGACACTAAAACGGAATTCTTGATAATTGGAACTCGCCAGCAGCTGTCTAAGGTTACAATCGACTCGATTGAAGTGGGTGATGCTGATATAAAACCTGTACAAGAAGTCCGAAATCTAGGTTCGTGGTTTGACGAACATATGTCGATGAATGTCCATGTGGGCAAGGTTTGCAGCAAAGCATTTAGGGGCTTGTACAACATCCGACAAATAAGGAAGTTTCTTTCCATCGAATCAACTAAAACGCTCGTACATGCCTTTGTGACGTCACACTTGGACTACTGCAATTCTCTCTTGTTCGGCATTCCCCAATACCAACTTCAGCGTCTTCAACGAGTTCTCAATGCCGCTGCTAGAGTGACGTGTCTTATACCAAGATGTGCTCATATTACCCCTGTCCTGATGCCCCTTCACTGGCTGCCTGTCAAGTTTCGCGTTGATTTTAAAATTGCACTTCTGGTATATAAAGCCCTCCACGGGATGGCGCCAGGCTACATTATGGAACTGTTGTTAGAAAAACCGAACTGCTGTTACCAACTGAGATCTGATGATCAGGGACTACTTTTTATCCCAAAAACTAGAGCCAAGACTCTTGGTGATCGAGCATTTGTGCATTCAGCTCCGTCAATTTGGAACATGCTACCTTCTAGTATTAGAAATAGTAAAACAATTGACTGTTTTAAATCTCAATTAAAGACTTTCCTTTTTAAGAAAGCTTTCGATTCTAACTTTTAGATTTATAGACACCTATACCTTAATTCTTAATATTTTAGCTACTTGTATATAGTATAACCTCATTGTTGTAAAGCGCTTTGGAATATTTTATATAATTTAAGCGCTGTATAAATCTTTATATATTATTATTATTATTATTACTCGCACTTTGAAATGAAATAAATTTAATTCGTACAGGACGCTAATGAAAATAATTTGCTTTCCTTTTTATCATGAACTTCTACAAAGGTTAATTTAACTAAGAAACGTTCGCAAACAATGCATAGGAAAGACTTGAACATGAAGAACAAAGTCTATATAAATATACAAAGTCATAAAATAAATAATTGAAACAAACTTCCCATATTCTTTAGAATTTCGCATACTAAATCAATTCTTATAAATATTTTACAATTATAATGGTAAAAATTTTTACAATTTTTGTGATGCGAAACGATTTTCCAAGCTTTCTGACATGTATTTTTTATATTTTGGCCTCTTCACTCCTGGCAAACAGCTATATATTTTGAGATTAGTGAAATGACCACCCACCGAACCACGCACCGTAACCCACGCCCGCGATCATTGATGAACTTTAGACTTCGCTAATGCTTTCGTTTTCCCGGGTGTAAACAGCCGGGCGGAATTAGTATCCTCGCCCCGGGCTTATATCCCTCGGGGATAATACATTTTAAACTTTTTGCATATATTTGCAGTTGGAATCACTTTTCATAGCTTTACAGTCACTCCTCTGCGGGCCTTGAAAACACAACATTTAACCGGAAGTTGTAAATTACAACATATCACATTTCAACCACCCTCCCCTAGGACCTCCTATTGCTCTGATTTTTAGGAGTTCACGTGACCAGAGGAAACCAGGGTCTTTGCTGTAGCGCCGTGCGAAAGTAAAGGCCCTGTCACACTATAGCGTATCGTACTAGCGAATGCCAGCGTATGAAAAATATCATTCATACGCCGGTATACGCTGACATACGCTAGGGGTACGTTAGGGAAAGGTTGTATACGTTTCAAGCACGATCGCGTACGGTGGCGTACGCTGGCATACGGCGAGGTAGAATATTTTTTCTAAGCATGCTCAAACATTTTGTGCGTACCGGACGTATGCTTTATACGATAAGCATACTCTAGGCACACGATGAATACGCTAGATGTACGCCAGATGTACGGTACTCATACGCTGGCATTTCAAAGGATTTTTGTGCGTATGAAAATTGTTTCATTAACTTTCATACGTTTCTCATACGTTTCTCTCATACGCAATAGTGTGACAGGGCCTTAAAAGACCCTGGCTTGCGAGGTTGATTGATGAGTCAGTAATGGCGGCCGAAAAATTTGCATGTTTGCGTTGAAAAAAAGGCAGAAAGAAATGGAATTGGACGCTGATATTTGGTAACGTTGTTTATCTACTGATATACTTTCTGAATATACAATAAAAAGACAGCACAATTTTCCATCGCAGTGGTACTTTAAACTTATAAAAAGGTTTTTATTTTGAAGCAAATTTTGAAAAATGTTGTCATCAATATTAATTCCAAACCGGATATGTGATTCGAAAGAAAAGGGACTATACTGGGAAGGCATGTGTCAAGTTTTACCATCTCAATTTGTTGGATAGCCTTTTAATTTTCGGTATAATATATGATTTATAGATCCTCTAGGAGGATTCAGCGAAATATTACCCTCAGTAATGATATTTCTATCAACTATCATCACTTCGGGTAATAGTTTTGCCGAATCACCCTCGCTCCAGGTCTATAAATGATAATCGTTGCATCGATCGCCATCAATCCGAAACTTTCTTATTATTGGCAGTGCCAACACTGGCGCAGACCGTTCAAGACTCTATCAGATCTGCCTAAACTTCCAGTAAGGACCGGCCACTCTACGTATATTAATCCAATATTAATACTATTGGCTACACAAGGAAGCCTGAATTCAATTAATTAAACCTACACAAGATGTTGTAAGTAGCACTCAACAGTTTAGAAACGTTTTAACGTTTTAATTGATAACATTATATTGGGTTAGCTGTGTTCTTATTAATAACCGCGTTGTTTATCGCGGGCTCAGGTTTTGTACGTTTGTGTTACGTTCACGCTTGTGTGCTCGAGGTGTAAATATAAAGTTTATGTTGTTTTCCGAAGATTTATATTAAAATTATAAATTAAATTGAACACAAAACACCTCTATTAGTTCTGTCCAAATTGAACAAAAATACTACCACCGCAATTGGTACAGTAATACAGAACAGAATATTCCGCTAGCGTAGTGTGTTTAATGGAATTTGCTGTCGTCTATACAAATGTCTGGGACGCGATGTTTTTGTTTTTTTCAAATTGTTTTCTATATTAAAATAAAATAAAAAGAACATTTACATTGATGACCCGAAGATGGCTGAATTTATGAGAAACGGATGATACTGCCAGGCAGACATTGAATGGTAATATTCTCTTGTGAAATTTGGGTGAAGAAAACACAAAAGAAATCATGAGGGTGAAAGTTTTTCCTACAAGTCTGATACAGTCGGTCATGATATAACAATATTGTAGTGTTACAACCTTGTGTCGTCAACTCTGTAACATTCTTGTTATATGCTAACTGTGTCAGGCGTGTTAGAACAACCTTGTAACTAGGTTGATAATGCCATCAAGCTTGTTACAAGTTGTTAACAAGCTTGTTCCAAACTTGCTACAACAACTAGGAACAAGCAGTGCAAACATAACTTCTCGACAGATTTTGAACAGATTTGTAACAACTTGTTTGCAGATATGTAACAACATGTGCATGCGTTTTTACGTGACACTTAAACAAACTTGCGTGTATAGACGTAGTTCCAAGGCATTTTTTAAATACCATGGAGTGGTGGGGCATTTGCCCCACTGGGCCCCTTCCTCTGCCCCACCACTGAAGAAAAAAAATGGCCTATTGCCCCAAAGCCAGGGCCCTAGGACCTGTATTGAGTAAATGAGTTTAACATTGAAAAGACGTTTAAAAAACAAAATTTGTTGGTGAGCACACTTAAACTTATGTTGTGTTTGAATGTTTAGCATGCAATTTATTACAAATTTGACCATTAGAGCTTTGTTTTGAAAAGCTGAGATTTTTAAAAAAATGTGTTCTCAGAATGCAGAAAATGCTATTTCAGAGACCCACATTTTAAAAATTTCCTGGGAGGGCATGCCCCCAGACTCCCGTAGCTAACTTTTGCCTGCGGTACTCGGCTCACACCTTCGGCGATCGCAAACAGGTGGGCAATTTGTCGACGCTGACCAAAAATCGCGGCTCATTTCTTCTTGAGTTGCCATTTTCGCGTCGAAGAGCAAAAATATAGACTTTCGGATAATATTTTAGCTGTTTACTATCAAATATATTTGTGAAACAGTTGATAATCTTACTGAGGAAGGCCAACAGTTTCTGAAAAGCTAAAGTACGTCGAAATCAGCTTTGGAATAGACTATATTCTCACCGGGGAAACATGAACTAAATGGATATTTACATCAACACTAAATTTTGCTCGTGCCCACGGAGCTAGTTGGATTAAAACAGATGTTAAGAAGTAAGTGAAAATGTGAACTTTGTGAATTATACTTTCATTAAAATGTTTCAGAAGGTCTGCTAATGCCAAACGACACGTGTAACAGAGCTGTCAATATACCCATATTTCAATGTTTATGTTGAAATGACCCATCTTCTTTGAGGTATAGCCTAAAAATTAGGGTATGCTCATCACTTGAAACTAGCTTTAAATCAAAGTTTTATCTATAGTCTTTTTATTAGAATTAAAATCATTCATGGGAAAAATGTGCCAAAGGTTGTAATTGCCCTTGTAAATATACACTATTTTTGACATGTTTGGGTTTGTATTTTGAAAAGGTGTTCTGGAAGGAAAATATGTCTTGAACAATACTGGTGGACCCTTAAATTATAACTAGTGTTATGTAAATCACAGAAAATTGAAAAAAATCTGGTCCTTACACAATAGTTTGGATTCTACGAGGTCCCGAATTTGGCTCATTTCAATGTTTAATTTGTTTACCTGGAAAAACATAGAAAATTGAATAAGTCAAGAATTTGACTATGCTCATCACCCAAAACCAGGTTTTTCGAATTTGCTTTTTCACATGGGTTTGTGGTAATACCAGTTATGCGACCACGAAAAATGCGCGCGGCACTTTTTTTGGACACTGAAGAAGGCGACATTTGATATTTTTATATATTGCCATCCTCTTATCATAACATAACTTAACTTATTTTAGTGAGTTTGTTAAAGAATTGTGCTCAATATATGCCTGTAGTGTCTAAGATTTTTCCATAGCATTAGATGATAAATTTATGTTCTGTTTTCTTTTATTTTTAGGTGATAGTATCTGTTCACATGTGTGTTGGTATCAAATTTTGCACAAGATTAAATTATTATTTCACATTCCTTTTTTGAAATATCCAAATAAATGGAATATGACATCAAGCTGGAGGACTAAATCCCGTTTGCAAACTTGTTTTGGTAAAAATAGAAAATAACAACTTATTATGTGTTAAGTTCTTTGTATGTTTGCATGGTGATAAAATATAATAGGTTTTGTTTGTGGAAACACCACGTAAATTTATTACTGCAAAGCTTTCGATCCGTAAGCCCGGATCTTCATCAGTGCTAATAATATGAGTGCTAATAATAATATCAGTGCTAATAATATGGGCTTACGGATCGAAAGCTTTGCAGTAATAAATTTACATGGTGTTTCCACAAACAAAACCTATTTTATTATGTGTTGTTCTAATAAAAAGTATTGTTTTTGATATGCATATTTAATTTTTGAAATTACATTTCATTCTTTGTTAAATGTGTACCAGGAATACTGAAATCTTTCAGATCAGCTAACAATACCTTTGTAACTTATATAGCCAAGTGTTCTATCTATTTCTGTTCAGATTAAACAAGTGATGGGTAAAATATTAGATTAGATTTTTGCAAAAAAATGAGCTTGCCTGTTTTCAAAGCATAAAAAGCAATAAAATAAAGCAAAAGTACTTACTTTCACTGTAAAACATTTGGAATGCATAGCTTAATGTTTTCCACTAAATATTACAAAGTTTTCGTTCATTAAAATGTTGTTTTATTAGCTTTAAAACCAGATAAATTCACGAAACACTCCTAATATATGTCGCCATATTGATTTTCTTCGGCGCATGCTCAGACAAATTGCCCACCTGTTGCGATCGCATACTATCCTGGGGGGACTGAGGGCAGGGAAAATGGGCCCCAGGGCCGTAGCGATGAGGGTATTGGGGGGGGGGAGGGGTTAACATATTCGGAAAACCAGGTTGGCCATTCGGAAAATTACAGCAATAATAGTATAACAAAATTTTAGTTGTTAAACAGAGAAAATATGATATAATTGTATTGTCAGTATACACTGATTTACGAAATCATGGCATTTACATGGATAACATTTAACAAATCGTAAATTGGTAAGTGTTTTTCGTTTTATTACTTCTGAGGCCGTAGCAACCTGGGGAGGGTGCAGCAGCCTTTCCAATAATTTGCTAAAATAAATCATTCTTTTTCAAAATCATGCAGACCTTTATCATTTAAATAATATACCTTTAGAATACTGACAATTGATTAATTTTAAGCGGCTACATTATCCATGACAAACTGCGAAGGATCATATTACCCATATTTTCGTGCAACTTCTCCAATATATAGTTAATTAAATATGCCTTCGCCCATTTAGTACTACTAAATACTACTACTAAATACTACGCTGTTTTCTGACCATCAGAATTCTGTCAAAACTTCCCCGAAAGTCCAGAAAATGGCATTTCAGAGACCCCAAATTTAAAAATCTCCTCGGGCCTTCGACACTCGTTTTCAGCCCCCAGTCAAATAGAGCTTCCTATGGCACTGCATGCTACTGTAATATGTCTGTGCGTAAAATATGCGTATATGTGTTTGTAAATTGCGTCTCCATTTTCCGGACAGCAAACACCTTCGTGGCTTCGTATGCCATGAAATATTCGGAAATTGTTTTCGTCATTCGGAAATTTTTGGCCTACCCCAACTATAAATGCTAGCTACGGCCTTGATGGGCCCTTTGGCAGTTTTGCCCCACCACTGGAGAATCCTTAAAAAATGCACTGCGTAGTTCGATCGTCTTGACGAACAATCCGTATGTTTTCATCAACGTAGTATTAGATAAAGCTTTCAGTGGTCTACTACACGCACAAGTTGTTTCAGGTCTGCAAACAAATTGTTGCAAACTGTTCACAATTAAGCTGACGACAAGCTGTATTCGTACTGCTTGTTCCCAGTTGTTGTAACAAGTTTGAAACAAACTGTTACAACTTGTAACAAGCTTGATGGTATTATCAGACTTCTTACAAGGTTTTTTAAGAAGTCTGATACAGTCTTGATATAACATTGTAACAATATTGTTATATAATGGCTGTATTGGACTTGTAGAACAATCCAACCTCCATTGCAAGAAATTAACGACAAACTGGCCACCGACGCATCATTACGTTCAGCTGTTTGGAAAGGCATTCAAATTTTAACAATAAGTGATTTCAATAGTTTTCGGGTTTTTTGGGACATCCTGTTGTACATCTCAAACACACTAATAATTGATGAGCAAAACATAAAGGAAACCATCGTTATCTTGAAGGCCACGGTAATAAACGCTCAAACACAACTAGCGTTTTGAATTCCCATTAACTACAAGTCCGTTTGAGAAATTATTTAACTATAGACTCGAAAGCTGTTTATTACCGGCGTATAAAACACCCAGAACGCCCGTATACTCACATTCAAAGAGTGGAGGTTCAATCTGAGCTTCCCTTCAGTGTCAGTGCTGTTTTTGAATAGCTGGAGAGTGAGTAGTCACATAGTAAGGTACAAGACTAAGCCTCCTGCAGCATTCAAAAACAGCATTAACACTCAAGGGAAGCTCAGATTGGACCTCCTGTACACTTTGAGTGTGAGTGAGCTTTTAGAATACGGGCGAAAGTACGTGAAATAAACTCGGCTAACGTCTCGTTCATCACAACTTTTCTGTATTTTATATGCTCGTTTATTGTGCAAATATTTCCCATTCATCAAGTTATGTACGTCCGCGGTAAGTTTCCCAGCTGAAGTGAAATAGAAGCAAGTGTTGAAAAGCTATATAGACACATGTTCACAATAGACAGTCGAATCTTCGGAACAGATCTTCATCTTCACTATTTTCATTATTCATGCTGAACAACCAGTTTGTAGTTTGTTCATTATGCACGATTTTTTAACTTCCCGTTATATAATAATTTAGAGGTCATTTTTATCGTATGTTTTCAGTTTGTCCTCAGGGATTTCACAATAGGGAGTTTAATTAACAAAATAGAAATGAGCAGCTTATGGACTTATTAAGATAGTTTCGGATTGGTAGAGAAGTACAACTATACCTGAAAAATGCAAGAAGAACTTTTCTTCCAAATTTCGAAGTTCTCCTTGTATTTTTCAGGTAGTTGCATCCCTATATCAATCCGAAGCTTTCTTATTATTGGCATTATCTACACTGGCACAGACCGTTCAAGATTGTGATTGAAGCGTAAAATCACTTACTTTCTTTAGATTTAAATTTGAACCAGTATATGGCACCAATAATAATCACTACCAATATCAACAACCCAAGCACTATCCCAACAATGGCACCCTTGCCCAGACTGCCTTTCTTTTTGTGATAACTTGTATGTGTTCCACCTGAGAAAAAAACACCAATGAGTTAGTCATTCGTTTATTTGATTAATTGACAACGAGATATTTAATGTTTATTACAGAGGGTGTAGTTGCCAAATTCACCCAAGCCAGTGGCTCATGAGTGTCTCCCAGAGGCTTCTATGAAACAAGGCATATGTTTCTGAATGTGAACATGGGATCGAACAACGATCGTTAGCCGAGTTTATTTCACATACTTTGAGGTGCTTAAACATATTTTTCTGAATGCGAACATGGGATCGAACAAAACTCAACATATAGGAAGGAATCATTACGGAAATTTCATGTACGATTTCACATGTGAAATTCAGATATGGAATTGGAACACTTTACATGTGAAAGAAACAAAGTATCTCATTCATCACACGTGAACTTGGAGTCCTCATTCGAGAAAGTCTTCTCATTAACAAACTCAAACCCTCTCCCATGCAACTTACAAGGCAGTTCGGTCCCTCTAGTTCTACTCTGATCCACTACTTTTTCTACTTTTGTAATATAATATCTTGTAAATAGTTGAAATTTATTCATATTTCTATGTTTTCCGCTTTGTATGTCATTGCTCTGAAGATGTCTTAAGTTAAAGACGAAACGTTAGATTTTTAATAAATATTTTAAACTACATTTTTGTTATGGCTCTTTTACGTATTTTCTGCTGGGCACTAATTAGTATTCTTTTGTAGTCGTATTTTAATTAAGCTATTCAAAACACTCGTTGTCGTGTTTTATCAGATATAAAACGCTCGGCTGTGCCTCGCGTTTTATATCTGATAAACCCTCCTATACTCGTGTTTTAAATAGTACATAATGTTGTATAACGTTCCCAAGTAGATTGAACATTTGTTACAATTGCTTTCGTGTCTTGCGGATAAACCTGACGATTGCAATTATTTGGCTGCTTTCACACGTAATTAATAAAGTAAACTTCAAATGATAAACGGCATTGGTGTTTTACCTGTTTTGTTCCTTGCTTTTGATGTTGGAAATGTTGGTGGTGGTTGTCCTTAAAATTATCGTAGATGATTAATTAAAAAAAGTTAATAATTCACGAAGAAAAGAAAAATAAAATTACTACCGTGTCGGTGGTTTTATAGGTGATAAAAAAGGCAGGTTAATTTACATAAAGCCATTTATTAAAAACACTGCCGTCTGTTCTTTATCGGATAAAAGATACTCGGCTGTCACCTTGTGTTTTATATCTGATAAACCACTCGTGCTTGTGTTTGAAACAGTGTGAATTCCAAAAGTGAATTCCAAATAAATGAACTGAAGAAGTGGCACGAAAGTGTATTTTACTGTACATGACTGCATGTACTATCTTTTAAATTGGGATTTCATTGGCATTGTAGATCCGATTAAATTTAACTTCGTAAATCAATGTCTGATTAATTATAATGAAAATTTGGTGATCGATTTATTATGCACTTGCATGCATTGATATTGAGTTCCATAAGAGCCAAGGAATGTATATTCATTGCACGTACGTAGTCATTAATGTTCTGGGGAAAATACTGTGAAACAGTTACAGTACGTAGCTATATCAACTAAGTTTTATATTGGATACCAGTATCAGTTCTGTCTTAATTAATAAAATAACACGCGGTATATTATTAGCCGGTATCTCATGCCCGCCAACAGCATACGACTGCACACCCACTATTACTGAACCACACCCCTTAATTCCTAGTCCTAGGCCGTAGAGATCTAGAATTGGTCGAAGCATGCAGTACTTGGATAAACCTTTGGCTGCTTCACACGTAAAGTAAACTTCAAATTAACGGCATTGGTGTTTTACCTGTTTTGTTCCTTGCTTTTGATGTTGGAAATGTTGTTGGTGGTTGTCCTTAAAATGATTGTAGATGATTTAAAAAACTCAATAATTTATGAGGAGAAGACAAACGAAATCACAGCCGGGTCTGTGGTTTTATAGGTGATAAAAATCATGTTAATTCACAAAAAACTTAGCTTTCAATTTCTCGGCTTCGACAACGTTTATTCTTAAAATTACTTCGCCAATGAACTCTGTTGTCCTTTAAGCCATTTAAAACACTAGCCGTCTGTGCTTTATCAGATATAATAAATATACTCGGCTGTCAGTACAGTGTTTTATATCCGATAAAGCACTCCTGCTTGTGTTTCAAGGAGTACTAATGAATTTATTCGTAAAATGTTTCGTAAATTTCTCCAAATATTTGCCACAACTATTACTTTTTAATGAATGTCAACCACATTATAATTCTTTTCCTTCCTATCCAATTCATGTTTTGCTGATAATTACATGTTTTCAGGACCCTCCACACCCTAGCAACGCCCCCCCCCCTCCTTCCCACTCAAGAGGTGGCACGAGAATATCTAGAAAAAGTCTAGAATTGGTCGAAACATGCAATACTTGGTAGAGTTAAACTGGAAGCACTCTTCTCACATGGAACTGAGGTGAAATATGATCACAAACTGCATATACCAGGTAGTCTGCGATAGCAGACTGATTTCAGCCAGCCTTCCCTGGAGAGGCGGAGAAACAGTCTGCGATCAATCAACACTAAAGCCTGGTTCACACGATTAAATAAGCATAAGCACAAGCAGCGGAACCTTTGATGTGCATAAACCGGTAAGCATAAGCATAAGAAGAACGCAACAAGGTCCCGCTGCTTGTACTTATGCTTATTTCATCGTGTGAACCAGGCTTAATGCCGCAGCATTTTGCATAATTAATTCAAAATTATTCAAAAAATGTCAAGTCCAAGATGGCGGACGCAGAGCAACTACAGTATGAATTATTATACATAACAACGTAATTTATGCAGTTTTCGGCGTGAATTATAGTATGAAAATTAAAATCCAATACATGCATGGCAGAGTACGCGACAAAAAACCAAGATTTGTCTTTACCTGAATATAACACGACGTTTCTAGCTTGCAATACAACAGCCACTCCAGTTTTTCTTGGGTCAGATTTGCCATACAATTGCCCCGATTCATTCCTATAGACGCCTTGTATTGCACAATACCTATTCGACCAACGCAACTCGTGTCCAAGTGCCTTGAGACCATCGCGAACAGGCTTAGGAACGCTGTATGGTGAATTTCTCTCATAGTAGATTATATTAGGAAAGAGCTGATGATGCAGGCGAGGGCGGTCTATTGATTTTTCCAGACTTAATCCAAACCAGAGTTTGTTCATTATTACCTGAAATAAACAATTCAAGTTTAATTATTATACAGCAATTGTGAAAGTTCAATTTTCCTGTTTGCCGATTGGTCAAAACCGTATCATGTGCCGGTCCAGAAAACGACATGTTAACTGCATGCATGCTTGGGCAATACACCCTATCGATAATTACGTCACGACTACATCGTTTTCAACTTAGGACCATCTTAAATGGAAAGGATTTCAAGTTTTTTTCTCGTGGGCTATTTACAGAGAAGCAGAACATCCCTCTTCAACACATGCATGAAAAAGAAATTTATTTTTACCAATAAATGTGGAAATAATCTTTAACAAGAAAACGAGGCTCCAGGTCATGACCTGAAGCCTCGTTCTCGTGTTAACGCTTACTTCCATATTTGTTGATCAAAATCCAAAATTTTTTTCCGCATGTGTTTAAGTAGGATGTTCTGCTTCAGAAGGATGTTCTGTTATATAAAGCACTCCTGCTCGTGTTTTAAATAGTACATCATCCACTCAAATGTTTAAAAATAACAAAGTGGGCGGCACATACTTTTGACGCCTCAGGGCTTTATTTTCGAAAGGCCTGACATTTAGGTTAACTAATACTAATTCCTTACCATGGGTACACCAGATGTGATCCTTAAAGCACCCGATCCTCCCACAACCATCCTTACCGATCCATCCTTATCCACCACAATGGTGGGGCAAGCGGTGGAGACAGAACGTTTTCCTGGCTCGATGTAGTTGGCTTTTGAAGGTTTGGGTTGATAGGACTTGGTTGTGTTGGGTAAAGAGAAGGTACTCATGTGATTATTATAAACTATCCCTGTCTTGTATGAACGAATCTTTGCGCCAAAGCTGTAACAAAATAGTATAACAAACACATTAGTCACAATTCAGCAGCAAACAACATGAAAAAACTTTTTACGCCAGCCACGTTTCATATCAAATATGTTTCGCTATTCTGGTTAATTATAGGTAAAGATTACGCTTGCAACTCAACGTTTCAACACACGCAGTATAGTGTCTTCACATACAGGGGTGTTTTGGAGTCATAATGTCGCTTGCTGCAGCATACCCCTGTGTGTGTATATGTATCTGTATCTATATAAGTGAAACCTTTATTTAACCATGTTTGCCAAATCAAGCTATCTACGATAGGTAAGACAATTATAATCCTTATTTGGACCTCTGGGGAAAACAGTTTAGAACTGACAGATCTATCCAGTATAAAAAAAGTATTTCATTTGAAAGAGAAACTTACTATCGTCCAAGGGTGCTTGTGACAGACACAGCATCACCAGTAGGACCAATCACAGATAAATGTGTCGTACCAAAATCTGGCATTGGATCGTAAAATCCTCCATAGTACAAGGGATCGTGTGTGGTGTTGTCCCATATCTTCTGACGTAATTCTTCAGCATAAGTAGCATTAATCTGAAGATCTATACTCTGAAAAAGCCAAAGATACTTTCATAAACTAAACCGGAAAAACAGCACAACCAGTAGCAAACCTGCAACAGATTTGTACCGACACTGTTTCAACGACTTGTTATCAAGATGCGTGAATGTTCTCAGCTTGTTGAAAATTTGTGAAAGGCTTGTTAATAACCAGTGCCAATGGAACTGTTTCCATGAGGAGGCGCTAATTTCTATAAATTCTCCGGACGGTTAATGACATTGTCCAACATATTTGATAATAATGTCCAGCAAGAATTATTGGGGACAGTGGGCCAGGCTTTAAATTTTTTTCCCAAAATTAACATATTTCCTTATTTATAATTTTAGCACCTATCGCTTCTCTTTGATTTCTTCTAATTAGAATTTAAGTAGAATTTTAAAAATTAAATACAATTTTCAAAATGTTTACTCTGATTGTTTTGGTGGTTTTTTAGTTTTGTTTTTTTTAGGGGGAGGGGCGGTTGGGGGGGGGATAACCCCACTGTTATATCCGGGGTACTGTAGCCATTTATTCCCCCATTCCGCTACTACTGTTGACAACTTGTTACAAAGCTGTTCAGTTGACAGACCTGTTACAAGTTATCTAAACTTCTTCTCGTCCTACAATTCAATAACTTGTTCGCGAGTTGTTAATACCAAACAAGTACTAGCTACTTGATAAAATGATAACATTGTTACAACTTGTTGACACGCTTGTTACCTTTTATAAAAATGTTTTATTGACAAGATATGAGATTTTGGCGTGGAAAGGGGTCACTCGGAGAATTTATTATCGCCAGTGGTTGATTTGACATGGATTTATGAAAATTTCTCTTTGTTATGGCTATTATTATACGGACATTATGCTGGGCATTGATATTTATTATTAGATTAAAAAACCATCTGCTATGGTAGCGGTGCAGAGCTAAACTTGGCACACCGCAATTTTGCAACAGGGGACAGGTTCTATAGATAGACCCAAAAGGGAACGCTCTTTCGAGCGGCTTGTTATATATAGTTTTGCAGTTCTGCCTGAGTACAATCTTAACCATTACAATGAATGGTGTTACCTGAAGCATATTAAACAGAAATGGGCGGGGGGGGGGGGCACACTTAGAGAACTGTTTGCTTAATTATAAAATGCCTTGTTTACAAAATCTGCAATGAACCTACGTAAATACGTGAAGCTTTGGCGAAGGTAATTATCAAAAAAGCTGAAACAGCGGTCTTGACTAAAATCCGGGAAATATGTACATTACCAACCTCTTCAACTTCTGGATGAAAATCCGGGTCACCGAGAAATGGTCGATATGCATAGCCAAACTTGACTGCCTCAATGATACGATGCCATGTTTGTACGACATTGTTGGCGGATATAGAGTCTGGAGTAAACTTGAATCCTAAATAGAGAAAGCATAACTGTGTTACCATACAAGTTCAAAAAACTGAACTTAAGCCGGTTTTCCACTTCAATCGTATCGTATCGAAACGTAGCGTATTTCTTTGTTTCCTGAGCGGTAGTGTGGAACTAATGACTTCGACAAAAAAGAAAATGCTACGGTACGCTACGATACGGTCGAAGTGGAAAACTGGCTTTAACCGTACCGAAACAAACAGAATCGGACAGGGACATCCTTTATTGACCTAGTGTACATTACTACAGGAGGAATCCTAAACTTAACTAACTTTAGTAATACTGGATAGCTATATACACAATTCTTAACTGACCTTCCTCGAGTTCCATTGTAAAGGTTATCCGGCCTTTCTGGTCTATAGTTTGAAACCAGAGTAATATTCTACCGCGTTAGTAACATTTTTAGGAGGAACTGACCTTTCAAAATGTTCAGTATCATAATCAAGGTAGAGCCGCTCGATGTAGCTGAGGTCGTATACAAAATGTCATCGTTCACAAAGCTCGACAGCACACGTCGTGTTGTTGCTTTAAAATTTTGCAAATCTTCCAAAGTCAGTATCCCACCACGGTCCTGAATGTCTTTGACGATTGCTCTGGCGATTGAGCCGTTATAGAAGCTGAAAGGATCCTCTGCAAGCTCTGTCAAGGTTTTCGCAAAAACTGGGTCTGTTATGTTCTCGCTTTCATTCCTTGGTGTTCCATCTTCATGGAAGTAAACTTCTCTTTGTGGACATATTAAAAATGTTAGATTGCACGAAATACTAAGCTACAAATGACTATGAGCAAAAGTGGAAACAAGACATAGTACTATTGTGCGATACCCTGGTCCTGCAGCATGCGCAAAACAGCATGTGCAACATGCGCACATACCAAAGCTTATGACTGCAATTACTATTAACTCAAGATTATAATGCGTCTCTTGCAACTCTTAATACTACCAAACAGTTGTTAGATTTTTCCAGAAATGTCGTAAGTTTTAAACAATTTTAATATTTTTTGTGTCCACTACAACTATCTATTCGGCCTCCAATGATCAGGCAACTGTATAACGAGAACCACAACAGAAACTTTTATACAATTGGTGGATTTTAAGGATGGTTTAAACTATCAATGTTTCTGTGATCCCACCCTATTTTCATAGGTAAATTCAATTTTTTGAAGGATTTCCAAGACATTTGAGCGAACTGACTTACTGATTAACTCTGAGTCAGTTCCCTCAAGGAACTTTGATACTATAAACTAGCCTTTAATCTGGGGAGATGCCACTTACTCCGTGTTTAATATTAGCACAATCTTCCTGAAAATAGGGTATTTAATGTAAAGTATGCTGACTAAAGATTCAAAGCAAACGTACCTGAAACCTTTTTCTTTAAAGATGTCTTTTGTGGTACTTTTGATAACCTTCGCCAATGGTTCGTCAATTTTGAAACCGTTGCTCGCCAGGTCAATAGTTGGTTGAAAAAGTCGTTTCCATGGTAAATGTCCTTGTGTTTTCCATGCATTGTACATAGCAAGTATTTCTCCTGGCACAGCGACTGACAGTTCACCTAAATAAGAAAAATAATAGAACGGCATAAATTAAAATTTCCTTGGGCCAGATGTTTACCAGAATTCCGTATAACATGATCCAAGTATCTAATTAAATTTACCGAAGATCTATTCATGAACTTTGCACGCTATACTGGAATGTGTGGTGGAGACAAAAACCCCCACCAGTCATCAGTGTTTCCAGTTCTTCATATAGGTACAATGTACAGTTCCCTTAACCCCGCCCTGCCTTCAACACTCACCCTTTATACTCTTCCAGCTTCTCTTCACAAACATATCAGGTGTCGATGCACCAGGGGCAGTTTCTCGGAAATCCAAATATGTCGCAGTCTTGGTGGCTCGTTTATACAGCAACATGTACCCTCCGCCACCAATTCCTGAAGAATGGGGATGAATAAGACCAAGACAGATCAGCGTTGCTATGGCCGCGTCAATGGCCGTCCCGGCGTCACGGATGACGTCAGCACCGATCTTCGAGCACACTTCGGAATCGGAGGCGACGGCTCCATATAAACCTGAACGTTTCTGGTTCGACGAGTCTGAACAGTCCGAGGATTGCGTCAACACCACAGTCACCACTGCCACTACAGCCAAAGTGACAAACTTGAACCTTTTCAAGCTCATGGTTCCTTCTTGGCCTCTATGTTAAGTTGTGAACTTGTTACTTGGAACTAGTAAATCAAAATACAAGACAAGATTAGGAAAGAAATATTTTTAGCAACAGTCACGCATTTTATGACGCGAATAATATTGAATTCATTTAAAAGTGCCCATGAAATCTAACAGGGAAAAACGTAAGCAATCGTTATGTTGTATGAACAAACATGCGTCCACATAAAAATCTCATTAATATTGCGAGAGTGTTACTTTATACATCAAAGTAAATTTAAGCTGCCTTATTCTTGGATACATGATACATATCGGTATCGGCATAATATTTTATCCATCTAGTAATTCGAAAGGTCGCGGGTTCGAAACACAGCCGCCGCAGGCAACTTTCTCCTTATCATATTATCGAGTGAACAATAACAATTTACATCCAAAGAGACAAAATTAATGTTAATCTGTATTATTCAGTTTCTCTAACTATAAATAAAATTAATATCTCAACGTTATATTATTATGACAAAATACATTTAATCAGCATATTCCCATCTTTGACTTGCGGTTATTCATGCAGGCCTATTTCCTATAGCACTATTTTAACTCGAATTTTCCCGACCAAACACTGACTCTCGATTGGGGTGCAAACTACTTGCATAACACGACACAGCTGATATACATGAGACTTAAGCCCGTGACTTAAGTAAGGTCTCTACTGTAAACGCGACTATATACGCAATCAGTTATATTTATAAGGCCTAAAACTAAACGTATAGTACCTGTAGCTATACGAAACAAGAACTAGAACCATTATCTGTGTTGATGGAACCTATCGCGAGTGCTATATTGTCTCAATTATAGTAAATGGCTCAGTATCAAAAATCGTGTGTCCATTATAGCGTATTGGTAACTTCCTCTATATTAATGCCTGTGAAACACGACACTGAGATCTAAAATGCTCAGTGCATGCTGAGTTAAATTATTGTTACTAATATTTTCCATAATTAATATATTAGTTAGCTCCGGAATATTAGGGAAAGATGCAGTCACAACGGATTTAATAGCGATAGGCCTATATCTGTTATAAACAGTTTGAACAGCAAATAAACACAGCATGCACGCAGCAATTAAGGTATATTGCAGAGTGCAGAAAGCAGAATAATGACGATATATTGGTATACTGAAACATTTGATGCTCTCCTTAAAATGTACTCCATAAACATGTACTTCCTTGAAATGCACAAAATCCTGTGAATTTAAAGTCATTATATCACGCTAACTCACTTATCATTCATGTAGTGCTACATACATGCACCAACAAAAAGACGCTCACATATCCTATGATTTATATAAGCACGAAGTATTTGGCTTCGTTAAAGTTCATTTTATAAGTAAGCCGATACCTTAATTTACATGTTATATATAGTATATATTTGCTTGTAAATCTTTTATTCACCTAATTTCTTCCAAATATCGTGTGGTAGTTTATTTAGTAGCTACATCTTTTTATATCAGCCTAATCAAGAAGACTTTATCGACCAATTTCCTATTAGCTATGTTTTGCGCAATCACAACATCGCTATTTAAAACGTCTTTATTGCATAAACAACTATATATATAGACTGTTCCTGACTGGAACGTTTGGAAATTCCGCGCCTGTGATTTTGAAAATTTAATAGTATTGTAAATATAGAAAGTGTTAAAATTGCGCGGTCGATATCTCCGCCGCGCGATACAGACATTCCACACTGGACTGGCTGTTTTCCCCTATTTATTTTGGGAAATGCAAAAATAGCTTGGAACACCTTAATATACACAACCTTTCCTGGTGGTCTTCTATTTTATTTTATTTAAAGAAATCAGAAATAAATAATGATTATTGAATCGGCATAAGTAGTTGACCACCAGGACTACGCTAACCTTACGACGTCTTCTCACTTCTGATGTCGTCCGTTTTAGTAAAAGAATACATAATGTATCTTCGTCTTCCCAAGTAACGTATCTTCGTCTTTTCAACTATCGAACTTACAGTCGCACGCAGGTATATACTCTATCTATTGGCGCAATTTGAAATTTGCAAGCTAATATTTCACTTGACATTGATGTCAACTTGCATAAGAATAGCTTGATAATAATATTATACATGTTAATTTAATTATGCTTTTGAGAGAGTTGAATTTCACGCAGCTGGAGTATTTTCCAATGACTGAAGAGACGTCAGCACTTCTGCGGCTTTCTCATTTTAATTATAGTTGAGTTGAGTAAAATAGAGTGGCATGCATGTATGATATACTATATCGTATCACATTATAATGGTTTATCGAAACGGAAACGGCGCAAATCGTACTCAAAAACCATGGTCGTACGAGGCACTTTCCGTTGCAATTCTGAATTTATACACAACACCATTCGGAAATCGCAACTATTCGCCGAGACGCCGACTATCCTGATGCGGTAATTGCGGTGGACACTCAGTGATTCACAGCTGGTATTCTCCTGTCACCAATCGAAACCGATACTGTTTATGCGTCAAAAATTAAATATTACAGCCAGCTATACGTTTTGTTTTTAGCTCGGATCCACGTCCTTTTCTGGGGGAAACGTCCAAGTTGATAACCTGGAGCCTTTTAACTGTTTAATTTAACTATATATAAATAAAATGGCCGAATTATAAAAGATGTGCATGGGTAAAACATGCACAGTTAATTTTAATCACCACTTTTTTTCTGTATAAACCATGCATTTATTATTTTATTTCCCAGCTATAGAAGATTCTCGTGCATCGTGCGCTTACACGTGTAAAATGTCATGTTTCAGGATAGAATATTATACTTTTGGCGTTTCAAACACTTTTACATTTAATTGTTAATGTTAAATTTTGTGCCTTCCGCCTGAGACATTCGGGAGCTAGTGTGCTATAATAACTGACAAGCATGTGTTATAAGTACAACAACTGTCATAAGAATAAGGAACTATTTTATAATTATCGCGAGGAATGTGTAAGGAATTATTCCGATAGCCTAACTTACTTTTCAACTATAGTCCCATTCAGCCAGCTGTCAAACGGACGTCACGATTTTTCCTCCCCCCCCCCATATGTGATGGCGTAATTTGTAATTCCATAGGTAATTTGGCCCCCGTTTTAAGGAAAAACAGTTTTAGAACATTTTATTATAAAATATGTACAGTGTGAATTGTATCTTTAAAGTCAATAATTGACTGATAAATCGGCGCGCAGCTAGTGGAATCATTATACCTCCAGCATGATTTCGCGTAATCGCCCAGTAAACCGAGCTCAGGAAGTGCATCACTGAAGCACTTATATGGGCAAAACGGTATAATATTTGCAAATGCATTTTCAGATAAAAGGCACAAAAATTCGTCCGGAATCAGGGCCCGTTTGGTCGAAACTTTCAATTCTCGTACTATTTTACACACTATAAATTTAAACTTGAATTGATCATCTCCAAAAGTTTTGTTTTGTCACTGTTTTTGGTCAGAGAATAACACTGACATTTGGAATTTATTCAACTTCTTGAATTTTACACTGCAGGCAGGCATGCATGCAGTTAACTCGACTTATCGTGTAATAATAGGCATATGAATTATTTAACGGCCGGCTGCCTACAACGGACCACACATTTGTTTTGTATAAACTGTACGAACTGCGAATTCAGTAGAACTGAATATACTTGGACCGTATATACTTGGACCGTATAGTGCCAATATTGAATTACCGAAGCTTTCGTTGGTAGCGATGCAACTACCTGAAAAATATCAGAAAATTTCGATGTTTCGAGCGAAGACCCAACGTGTGGAGCGGGTAATTAGAGCCATAATTAAGGGCCTTCGCTTCAAACGTCGAATTTTCCTTATGTTTCAGGTAGTTGCATACTTATCAAGGAAATGTTGCTGAAGCTAATTAGATCATGCAACGAAAATTTCTCAAACTCTTTCAAGTGGCTAAAGTTTTATTATCTATATAAATTTAATATTAAGAGGTCGAATTAATTCTTAAGTGTCTCAATAAATCAGTCGCCATAACTCATAAGGATCATTCTTGTGGGATGTTTGTGAGGTTAAGTCTTTTTTTGTAGAACTTATTTGCTCTACATTTGCCGTTAATCGCCGATTTTACGCCTTTCCAGACATCCTCTTCATCTTCTTTGCATTTCAAAACGAAGCGCATGAATAACAACACTATAAAATTAATAATAAAATATTTCAACTTTTTTCAAGTCACTTCCCATGTCTATAAATTTATGACTTATTTAATAGCAATACAGGGTGTATAAAAAAGCATACCAATTGCGTTTTTTACTTGGTGCATAAATGTATTTTTTCATAATCATAAAGATTTATCTTTTAGCTGTAGAAAGAGCAAATACTAATCCGATAAAAATTGTTTATTGAAAGTGCCCTATATATTTTTACCATTGAGAATTGGGTCTAAAACTATTGAAAATTAGCTAATAAAATACCTGCATATATGCATAATTATATTATAACCCATCTTGTAAACCAGCTCTGAGCTCTAGAGTTAAAATGGCATATTCGTGTTTAATTTCTTTTCCTTTTGCTATGCGCTGTTTTAATTATAAGCCGCAGAGGTGAAATATGCGATTTCGAAAAACACTTTTGTCGAACTCGTATTTGCTCAATTGTTCTCTTTAATGACGAAAACATATCATTCAACAGCCAAAAGCATGATCTTTATGACTATCAAAAAACTTACGTTCGCGCATCATGCGAGTAATTAGCGCACAGTGGTGTGCTAAACTTGGATTACTTTTTGTTTGGGGGGGGGGGGGCTAATGTAAAAAAGGAACAGAATGTATATGTTTAATTAAGCAAAAAGTTTAATGTACAGTATATATATATACGTAAAAACTATACGTGATTTGTAAGACAAACCTTTTAAGGAATTTAATTTCACTGGATCAAGTGCAGGCTTGCCATGTGTCCCGTCTGTGTTGCATTGTCGAAGCTCTTGTTCAGAAAAGAAGAATGACAGAAGCTTTAGCGCACATTTACGTGGTTCTACAGTACTTTCCAATATCGCACTGATTTTTTTGACGTCTTTGCTTGGCGTCACAAATTTTCTAATCACATCATCAGACAACAATTGGCTTGAGCTTGCTTCTGAATTGGCTAAATCTGGCAAGGTGGAAGAAGTTTTACCAGATTCCACTTCGGTGGTTTGATTAATATTATCTGTGCATGTTGGGTTCTCTACCAAGCGCCTCAACGTGTCAAAATCTATGGTTGACAACTGAAACTGATTACTTGAGCCAGTTGAGGCAAGACTTGAGGAATTTAGGGGCGGTGAATCTTCTTTCGCAATAGAAACATAGGAATCGTCAATTGGGCTATTGAACTGCTATTAAAAGAAATAAAATCGGAAAAAACGTAATTATATAATGCTAATTATAACACAGCAAAAACTCGTTACTGAGACTAGTAACTACATGCATGAGTATAATAAAATTAATTTTGGATATCTATTTGGAATAGGTAACCTAGCTTTTCCCCAGGCATGTGCTGTATCACCATTAATTTGGTCGTTTTTTAATCGCGATCATTCCATAAAGGCGTCATTTGAGAGCTAAAAGCCTGATCTTTATAAATGAAAAAAAGAAACCCTATCGACGTATTAATTAACCGGCGATGACATGTCAAAGTTGGATTACATTTTGATACATACACCTTCTTACAGATGTTTTTGGCAAGCGAAAGCTGGTTTAATTCATATGCATCTATAGGCAAGTATTTCATTTTAATTAAATTTTCAGTAAACAGCCTGGAATTTTTTTCTGACTTGAATTTAAGAATTTTTTCTGACTTGAACCCCATCAACTGTAATAATACATCATTGTATTAATAATTTTGAACTGAATACAAACATTGAAAACAAACTCTGTAAATGGTCAAACCTGCAAGGGTATGGAAAATACAACAAAACGAATAACATGCATGTATGGATATTAATTAACATGCCATAGCTTGAATAGTTTACATAATTGTGGGCAAGACGTTGGCGTATACTATTCAATCTGGCCGGCGAACTTTAATACATTTGCTGGCTCCTATAATACTCACCGACTCTGTTGATTTAGTGCTGAATTCCATAGTTTCTAAACGTTGCTCTATCCTGAACAGGTAGCTTTTTATTGAACTGCTCATTTCTTCAATCATCTATAATGGAAATATTTAGATTGTAATGTACATTCATATCGCGGAAGAACAGTTCAAACAATATACATATATAGATGTCTGTCCTTTTGTCACCGACAATTAAACTAATGGTTGTTGGCGGATAGAACTTGTGTTAGCACTTACAGTAGTTATAGTCTCTGGAGATTTAGTAATTATTTCCAAAGATTCCAGGCGCTTTTCTATCGTTGAGAAGTTCTCAGTTACAGAGCATTTTATTTCTTGAATCATCTGAAAAGACATGCAAACATAATGAGTGTAGTTGTTACAGTCGTACTGTTAGTGTGTTATGAGCATTTTGATGAGTTTAATACTTTGTCATACATCTTTAATTAATAATGATATATATAGATTATAGTATACACTATTTATTTACGGAAAATTGAATTATGCTTGTTATGCAAATTTATAATGCCATAAATTAACCATGCAGTTTATCGCAGGCTAGCCCAACTATAGATGTTATTATTTATTTTAAGCGGAGTAAACTGAAAAGGAAAGATTAAAATATTTGCACTATCAATATCTTATGTCATATTGCTGATATGCTGGGCGCCAATAATCAATACACTCTTTGCGCTATCCATGCTTTTCCATGCATATACCGCGCTTAGCTTTTGCATATGCCGCGCTAAGATCTTTCAACGTTTTTCGTGCATAATTCAGAAATTGTGAAGGGTCGACTTCCTTAAATTTTGATCCAGTTTTAGGTGAATTACAGATCTAGTTGGCATTTTCTATCACTTTTTTATACTCGAGTGCGAACAAGCATGCTTTGATTGATATACCACATGCGTCGTGCCGGAATCATATGGCTTCATTGCGTAGGCGTAAATGGATTTTCAAGAGGAAATAGCACATTTTAAAAATTTCTTTGACTATAGTTCTCCCATGCTAATAATTATAAAACTCAATAATCATACATAGCAAGCGTTGCGCTAGTTATTTTTAGGATTCATAAAATTTTACTGACTATAAATTAAAATTTGTATACTGTAAGTTATAGTCACTTTAGAAAATAGCCTGAATAAACAGTCACCTTAGTCAGGTCAGCAGCAAATACCGCTTTTTTGTCGATTTCATCAATTCTCTTCTTTATTGATACCCACTCTTTTGCCATTGCCTCTACACCAATGTCGGCCGTAACTGGCTGAATAGAGCCGTTCCCGTTGCAGGGCGCTGAAGATGCACTAGTGCTTGCGACATCGTCTTGGCGGTTTTCTTTCTTTTTTTTTTCTTGCGTGCTCTCGTCCCACTTTCCAATCCCGTTCTCTTTTTCCTTGCAGTGCCAGGAACTTCTGATAATGATCATCATCCGCAACTTCATCTACAACTTGATCCACTATAACACAACAATGAAAAAAACAGTTAGCTATAAAAACGGGCAAGATAAAGCCTGCAGATTTATATCTAAGTAACGGTAGGTTACAAACTTGGATTACAAACTCTAACATTCTAACCTTCATTTTTTGTTGTTGTTGTTGTTGTTGTTGTTGTTGTTGTTGTTGTTGATGTTGTTATTTCAACGATTTCTGCGTTATACCAACGTGTACCATACTTCACCTCAGGGCCGTCGCGAGCGGGGGGGTGTGGGGGGGTGCTCCACCCCCCCAATAATTTTCACAAGTCGGCCCCAGTCGGCAAATTTCTTCGTTACTGTTCGGCAAATTGCGAAATCGGCATTCAGCAAATTGTAAAAGTTAAGAACGAAAGCGATAAATAAAGCGATAAATTTTGGATTTAAAATAATGGTTTGTGTGTTCTTATGTCAAAACCATTTAAATGTATTTCTGTTTTCTAGTAAAACTATTAGTCTTTTATTTGTCGAAAATCGACGGGAGGCTGAAATGTGAAACCCACGTTTCCGGGCATGTTCTTCGCTCGACTGCTCTTATAGCGAAGGATTTTTATCAATTATGTGCGGTTCAAAACTGCCCAAAAGAAAAATAATAAAACTTTAGTGTCTTGAATGTAATTCGGTTTTTGACGACTATAGAAACTTTATTATTTATTTCACGAGGGAAAACGTATTAACCGGCATAAAAGTTATCTAACATACGGCCCGACGATTAACGTAAGAGGCACGAGCAAACTTGCCATAAGGGAAACCAAGTGCGAGTAGCACATAAAGACGTACCAGCTAATCCGTTTGAGACTGCAAACCGCAGTCAAAGCCAAAGAGAATATTTTGAGTCGTCAGAGGCGCAAGATCCTCAAGAAGACTCCACAGGTACCGATGAGAAGAAGACCAAGAGAAAGACGAGGCATGCCACAAGAATGGACTTGTCTTCTTTAGTTCTTTAGCGAAATTACTGTTAACTCTTATCAGCCTACAGTTTTGAAAGACATACCGCATACAGCGATCGGTATCATCGATCGGTTGCATATGATCATATCCGTTTTACTCGCTTTCTGACGCATAAAATTTAATTAAACTCTTGAAAAATCGGGTCGTACAAAGCCCAGTTAACACTATCCGGCACTAAGAGTTTTAAGACTGCTCAAAATACAAAAATATTATAAATTGTCTATTCGGCGCCTGGGGATAAAAAAGGTCAAATTCATCAAAATTCATCAAAATTCGGTTTTTGGTTGTAATGCGTTAATTTCTGAAACTGAAAGTACCATTTTCACGTACGGTTCTGTTCACACGAAAACATATGAAAACGACGTCAGGAAGCAAAAACGTTTCAAATAGTGAAAACGATGCCAAAGATTCGTTCTCTATGTCTGAAACTTTTGGTCGTTTTGACACTTTGTTATTGTGTAAACAGAAAAGTAGAAGGCGAAAATGAAATTCCGTGTTTATATTTGGAAACGAAGACTATAAAAAACTAGTGCTTTGTCTGAAAATGTTGCGAGAAAAACGATCAATGTGAACAAGGCGCCTAAACGCTAAATTTGAAAACGGCACTGCAAAAACGCTCAAAAACGTGACCCGTGTGCACATAGTTTCAGTGTCGATTTAGGACTTATGAAAACACAGTATAAATTTATGGTAAATTTAAATTTTTTTTCAGCTTTATATGTTTAATATAAATAAATTAAAATAATACTCCTATCTGAAAACAAACGCACGAAAATAAAATAGTGCTAATCATTGAGCTGTGGTTGCAGTTATTGCAATTGTGTTTTTCGATTTCGTGACCATATATTTGTTTGTTCTTAGAATGTCGTATTTTATATATAAAGCAACCCGATTCCTTTTTAGCAACAACCCCCGAACAGGCATCCATATTTCAAAACAAGAGCCATATTGGTGTCCCTCAGTTACTAGCACACCAATATGATTCTCATTACCTATACAAACTTTTCTTCTCATTACCTATACAAACTTTTGAAAAACTCGGCAAATTCAACTGGCGTCACTCGGCAATTTGACCTTCGACACCCCCCCAATCCATATCCCTTCGCAACGGCCCTGCTTCACCTTTACTGCGTCTCCTTCTTTTATCTTGTCTTTGCAGCTGCCTATCGGCCGTACGTCCTCTTGTTTGACATAGTAATCGGTGTCCCTCCATTTGCAATTAGTTTTCCAAATAATTCTAATATCTTCGTTTTGCGCCATAGACTCTGTTTTATATTTTAACGTTAATAGCTTAAGCGACCTAGCATTAATGACTACGTCTACAGCAACAATAAGAAAATAAGTAGGAAGTGCAATATTGCCTTATTGGCATATTTTCAGGTTATATCGTATGGCCAGGCAGCGCAGTGATAGGAAACGATTGCATTACATGTCACAAAAAGTGACATAAATTAGATTAATTTCCTTTTTAATATGTATTAATTTATCACATTTAAATCACTAACTCTAAATATATATTCGTCATGGAAGGTGAACAAGTTCCTGAAAACATGGACAGTTTGGACGAAAATGTGAGTACTTTTCTAAACGTTGGCTGCGGATGCTCCGGAGGTCAAAAAGGGAATCAATGTTCGAAGTCCTTTTCAAAAGAAACACTGCTTTTTAACCTTCACAACTGCTTAGAATTGAGTAGAGAGGAACTTGATCTTGTGATTTTGGCAAACATACAAGCATCTACACATGGACATGATGAGCAAGTTGGTGAAAAACGAAGTAAGAGTCCCCGATGTTTTTTCACGTTCAAGTCAATACCGATATGCAAAAAAATGTTCCTGCAGGTCTATGGTATAAGTGACAGGCGTTTTCGTTCACTTAAAGAACATTACGATACCTTTGGTATTTACCCTAGAACTCATGGGAATAAGAAGAGATTGCCAAGTAACACTTTACCATATTCCACTGTTGCAGATATAAAGGCATTTATGTCCAATTATGTGGAAGAAAATGGGGTATTGTTGCCAGGTAGAATTCTAGGCTACAAGAATGACGACATTAAGCTACTATCATCATGTGAAAGTAAAATGGGCGTATGGAGATGCTACAACAAAAGCTGTGAAGCTGCAGGAAAGAATTCTATAAGTTATTCCAAATTTGTCGACCTCTGGAAGGATCTCTTCCCTGACGTCGTTGTAGCGAAACCCATGACAGATTTGTGCGCACAATGTCAAGAGAATACGACAAAGCTTCAGCGCTCCGCGAATTTATCCGATGAAGAAAAATCGGTTTGTGTTAAGCTACACCAAGAGCATTTAGATAAAGCTAAAGCAGAGCGAGAATGCTATAGGAAGGCTTGTGAAGAGGCAAAAGACAATTTTGCCTCCTTTCAACAAGAATTTGACTTCACAGAGACACACAGCTCATGCTCACTCGAAAAAACAATGCACTATTCGTTTGACTATGCCCAGCAAGTGCATATACCGAGCAATCCAATGCAGCCTGGCCCAATCTACTTCAAGACGCCACGGAAATGCGGAATATTCGGTGTTACATCTGAAGCTGTTCCCCGGCAAGTAAACTTCTTGATAGATGAAGCTGTATCAGTTGGAAAAGGAGCCAATTCAACCATTAGCTACTTGCACTATTTCTTAGAGCATCATGGCTTTGGCGAAACTGATGTGCATTTTCACGCAGACAACTGCGGTGGGCAAAACAAGAACAATTTCTTTTTGTGGTATTTGGCTTGGAGAGTTGCAAATCATCTTCATAGAAAAATTATATATTCATTTCTCCTAGCGGGTCACACTAAATTTGGCCCAGATCGTGGTTTTGGCTTGTTAAAGAAAGCATTTAGAGCTACCTATGTTTCGTCCTTATACGAATTAGGATCCGTCGTAGAAACATCAAGTTCCATCGGTTTCAATAAAGCCCAGCTTGTGGGAACACACGATGGTAAAGTCATTGTTCCTGTTTACGATTGGTCTACATTTCTTGGTCAATACTTCAGAAAGCTTCCAAACATCACAAAATTTCATCATTTTCGTTTTGCCCTAGACGAACCCGGAATTGTTTATTACAAAGCCTTCGTAACTTCAGAGGAATATAAAATGAACTTATTGAAAAAGGCGACCATTTTGCCGCCATCTGATCTTCCAGCAAAGGTCGCGCCAAATGGTTTAGATGCAGAGAGGCAGAGCTACCTGTTTAAGGAAATTAGACAGTTTTGCAAACCAGGAACTGAAGACCTTGTTGCTCCGTCTCCGGACTTAAACTTTGCCAATATGTAGAGCTCAAATCGGCATACATTTTAAAATGCATAGCCTATACGATACCTCTCAAACACGTTGACGGAACATCATCAAAATGTTCATACAATTGTTCATATATAGCTATATACAATGATTCTGTATATAGGTTCGACTATAATCATTTAAAATTTGTAATGATTGCAGTAATATATTTATTTAAGGCTTTAAAAATGTTTTATATTTATTTAAGGCTTTAACTTTTTCGAATAAATTTTATTTTTCTAAATTAGGTAGATACATAATATTATATATTTAGGAGAACCGATCAGCATCTCAAATTATGTTTCTATAGAAGGTGCCTGCATGCATGCATGCGAATCATTGAAATACCAATTGTATAAAGTATAATAATATGCATGTGGGGTACAATAGGAAATATACGACTAAGATCATTGTTACATGCAAAGACGTGTGGGATAATTAAATACCTTATGAAATACGAAATTATCACATCCATGCAATAAGACTATAAGAACTTTCAAGTATTAATATAGCTTTTGATGTAAAATAACATATTATTATTGGATTCGAAGCAAAGGTTTCGTGCAGTTTACATTATACTTTATAACATCAGTATGCACGAATAAACTTTTCAGTTTTGCTGCCTTAGCCTAGGAAAGTTTTATTAATAGCCTAATAACTGTTTATTGCAAAAGCTTTGATTTTGTTCATTTAGTCGCTGTTCATTTGGTATCAAAACCTATTTTCCTGGTTTTAAACTCCATATGAAAAATTAAAGTTGTATTCAAGCACCAGTAAGAGAAATTATATTCTGAGAGAAAATTTTACTCCTGAGTTACAAGGGAATATAAACTATTTCCTATAACATGATCACTTAATATCATAATCCGACAATTATTTTAATTAGGTTTATGGTGCCAGTTAGGTGTTGATATACAGTATGCCGATTTCCGTCAAAGTAAGTTGAGTTATCAATGTATTTCATTTGCCGTCGGGCAACATGCACAGTTATTGAATCTACGAAGTAGATTATATGCTATCGACGTGTTAGCTGTTCACTGTTCACTTTTCAGTTACAAATCACGGCTTGGTCGCGAGACAATCCAATATTGCGGTAAAGAGGAGTTAAAATTTATGATTTATATTTATTCACACATTTAAATTCGAAGTGACTATATGACCGGCAGCCGGTCACGGTTTATAAAATACTAAATGGCCGGCAGTCTAGTGACTATAGTTAAAGTTTAATTTTTATAAGATAAACCTATCCCCAACCCCAAACCCTTTTCTAACCCTAACCCCTAACCCCTAACCCTAACCTTTTGAGAGTTAGAAAAGTCGGGAAAAAAAGTTTAAAAAATTTTAAGAAAAAACAATGCTAAGTCAGACAAAACACATCGCGACCCCGACTGCGCTTAACCTTTACGCACGCAGCGCCCTTGCCGTATGAGCTAACAGCAAGCTCGGTAAAAGTTAACGCAAACAAAAGTTTTTATATTCAACTATGGGTCACTAGACTGCCGGCCATTTAGTATTTGATAAACCGTGACCGGCTGCCGGCCATATAGTCACTTCGATTTAAATTTGATGACTTGTGGATGAAAATGGAGCGAAGGTAAATTAATCTTGGAACTACGTGTCTGTTTTGTAGCGTGGTTGCTGTACACTTTTCAGCAATTTACGAAATAGTACGTATTGGTTTTCAAGGCGTCTACCTTGTGTCCTATTTGAAGTCATCTTGACACCTAATAAGCATTTGAATTAGCGAAATTTGGCAAAATATGAGGTACAGAATTATTTTAATAAAGTATAACAACCAGCGAAAAAGTAAGCCACTAAGGTTTCGAGTAAAATTGACCCATTAAATGTTTTAAATGTAAGGTTTCGAGTAAAATTGATCCATTAAATGTTTTAAATGTTATGGGCCGTTGTTGTTAGAATTTAGTAATGTAATACGATCCTTTAATATGATGTGTGCGCTCATGTCGAATATTCCACTTAATATAAACACAATAAAAGTGCAACAGTATTAAACGTGATTCTTGTTCACGTTTAACTATATATTGTACTTATCCCGCCTCTGTTTCAACATATCATATACGAACAAGTGAAAATACTTTATTAGTTAATTGTTTTTTAATTAATGTGTTTCATAATATTTTGTTTCACGGCAGAACCATTGGCCTTATCAGTATAGGTTAGTGGGCAGGAGTCTCTATTATTATGGCGTGTATACGAATTCATATAAGACACAGTTACTGTGGCGTTTTACTGGGATGGATTTGCTTAGTGTGCAACTGAGTATGGTCTTACAATTAGAAATAGAATTGTGAATATTTTAATCTGGAATAACCATTTTAGAGCAAATTACCGGTATTTCAATGACATGTTTATGCCAGCATATATTGTTTTCTGATTATGTTCTAGTCTAGCTGGTGCTTGGTGGCCATTCACTTTTTAAAGTTGTCGATTGACCACTGGACACTGGACAGGGTGGGCAACGATTTATTGCTATTCGTAGATTCATGTGCGTAGCTATTTTTATTCCTCCATCTGATTTGCTTAATTAAAACGCCATGGATTTTATAATTTTCGTTTGTTCATGTATAGCAAACTACTGGACTTTCTAGAAATGCCGTCCATGATGCGGCGACGTAGGTAGTACACTAGGTTGGAAATTTTATGTTATTTCGTTGTTGCTAATGTATTATGCGAAAAATTAAGTCGAATCTTTGGCGGATAATGTGACATGATTTAGCAAATTTTGTGCCGTGTCGTATTTAACTTAAGCCTGTTTTTCGAATTTCATCGCATGAATCGAATTTTTATTGCTAAAATTGAAAATAATTTATTAAAATTCTAATTATAATTCCAGTCTAGAGCTTATAAGATAAAAGATTCGCACGACAAATTTCGCTAGTGAAAACAGACTTTAGTTATTCAAACTTTGCAAGAATTCAATTGATTTAGGGGTCGATCTACTGCCGCTTTCAATCGTTCTAGACTATTACATTCGGAGCGCAGCAAAGTCCGCTTTCGAAACTGGCAAGCCAGGTATATTATTAATTAAGATCAATATTTATTACTGTGGACTACATTGAAACTGTTTTATGCTTGTTTTGATACAATTGTATGCGTAACATTACGACTGTCAGTTATTCGGCCAGAATAATAATGTAGTAACTTAAGCGAATTAGTTGACGCTATTCAACGACGGAAGCGGCAAGCTCGCGGATGTATATTTTAAACCATCTTTTAACATTCGAGAAACCTTTTGCTCAATTTATTGTTGCAATATTTCACCGCGACATTTTCGACGCTACTCTAATAAAATTGCAAGAATATTTAATATTGCGAAGGGTGGCGAACTCCTATATTAACTGCTGTCCGTAACACTAATACTGTAGTAGTGTTTTTTGTAAATCTTACAAGACAAAGCGGTTTCAGATATTAAACACCTACAAAGCCAGCTTAAACAATGTGAATATATTCTGTAAGGAATTTAAACGGCTTCGTGAACGTATTTGAACGTTTTGAGCCAAACGTTGAAACGATTTAGCAACATTTTTCAAACGTTTTTCTCCAACCGTTCGAACGGTTCAGCCAGACGTTTGAACGATCTCAAAAATCGTTTCAACGGAACGCTAAAGCGTTTAAACGGATAACGAACGGATAACGAACGATTTTTCAGAACGTTTTTCAAAACCGTTAACGTACGTTTTCCCAAGGAGGGTCACTTTTTATCAAGTATATAAAACATTGCGTGATTTGATATTAATATACAAAATCCCGCTTGACTTTCAAAGGTCATAAATCGCTATAGTGTTGACATTTCACTAAAACTATCGATAGAAACTAGGAGATATTTTTGTACTGAATCGAACGGTGGTATTTTCATCTACATAGCGTATATTGAACCAAAGATACGAACCTCCAAATAAATCAGGTCGAAACCGACTGAAGGTCGCGTTTGTTTATAAATATTGCTGAAGTTGAAATAGTTGAATTGTATTTTCAGTCTTGATAATAAATTTAATAATGGTTCTGTATGCTATACATACAAATATAAATTTAAATAAAAGTTTTCTCAGTCATTTTGAATTTGACTTGAATTTTGCGTTTGATAATTATACGCCCCCCCCCCCGGTTTACCGCCATATTGGGTGTGGAATCGTGCAGAGGCTTCGCGCCTTCATAGCCAATTATAAAGCCTCTGCGGAGGAGAGAGACTGTTAGTCATCTACCTTCTACTCCCATTACATGTATACATGAAAGTATGGTAATGCTCTGAAACTACCGAATTCTGTAGCTCAACTGGTTAGAGCGTTGCAACGGAATCGCAAGGCGACAAGTTTGATACATGCGAGAGGGTCTGTATAGTTGCGTTTTATGGATTTGACCAATTAAAAAATTGGTTATGCATTTAATTAACCAATTTACAATTGGTTATAGAGATGACCAATTATTTAAATTGGTTATGCATATGACCAATTTTAAATTGATTGGGGATATGACCAATTTTTATTGGTTATTTTGGGTAATTCAATATTGACTGATCAAAAGAAATTGGTTAAATTTACCATTTAAATTGGTTAAAAATTCAACCAATTATGTATTGGTCAAAATGACCAATGTTTAATTGGTCATGTCAGACTAACCAATTTCTCAATTGGTTAAAATGGGCAATTCAAATTGGTTGCTGCCAATATAAATTCGTCTTTTTAACCAATTTGTTTTTACTGTGCATGTGCTTAGGTCTAAGAGGGTGTACAAATTTATATTCGAAAATTATGTCCAGAAAAATTCCCATGTACTATTAAGAATCTGTTGGCCAGCCCGACTCTATAATATATATGGATCACCTTAAGGGATCGAACTGCTCAATAGACATCATCCATAGTCCTAGTAGACAATTGCAAAGAGACCTTTGATATTTTAGCAACTGAAGTTTGCCTTTGGGAGTCTGATGTCCTGTCTGTTATCTTCAAATTATTCAATGTCTTTTTAAAAATGCTAAA